AGGTCTGCACAATCGGGCTCCAGCCTCCCACGCTGGCGCAGCTCCACGCTTTCACCTGACGGCAAAAATCTTCCCTGGAAGAGGCGAGCACGGTGTCCCTGCCACGGCAGCATGCCCAGATTAAATGCTGTCAGAAAAGGAGGGGGAAAAACTGCACCAAGAAGGGGGTAGAGATAGGGACTATTTCCACTCCCAACACGCGGGAGCTGTAAATCCTCTTGTACCTGGGCTGGGGACAAAACGTGGCCCCGTCCCTCCCGAGCCCTCCACACTCTTCCCGAAAGCAAACCAGCCCCACGGGAAAGGGGATGGAGGGAGGCACCGAGGAGGGGAAGGAGGATGGGAACCCAGCTGCTGCCCCAAGACGAGGAGGGAGAAGGAAGTGGCTGAACTTACTCTTGATGGGCAACTTAGCTCCAAAATAATTGATGCAAAAAACAAAACAAAACAAAAAAGCAGGTGTTAACAGGCAGGGTGGGTTTAAACAAACAGCGGGGAAATGTAAACATGCATGGGTGACTGCGGAAAGTGTCCTCTGAAAGTCAGAATAAATAAGAAATAAAGCAGACAGAGAAGAGCAGCTGAAGGGAAGACTATTTTGGTCTCCTCTGAGCATGTGGTTGGTGACCTCTCCCCGCAGCCTCCGCAGGCCAGCCGGGAACTGGGTTAGCGAGACGGGCAGGAGGGATGCGCTCGCAGGTAGGGCATGTCCTCTGCAAGGGCAGGAGGAGGGGGCCAAGCTCACCCGTCCCTGTCTCCACCCCGGCAGACCCCATCGGTGCCCTGGGTGAGCGGCTTTCCGGCAAAGCAGAGGGGCTCCTCGCCACCCGGCTAACCCCCCCTGCCCCGGCCCACGGGGCATCACAAGAAGGACTTGGCCTCGGCCGTCCACTGTACCGTGGGAGGAGGAGAGCCTCTGCCGATCAGGGGGACGTTCTCGTAGCGCGGGTTTCCACCAAAGAGCACGGCTTGGTTCCTGGAGGGGAAGAGCTCGTCAGAGTGGGGGGCACACAGCAAGACCCCCACCATTGTCCCATGGCCCCGACGTGGGGTGACGCTCCATCCCCGAGGTGGGGGGACCCAAGGGTCAGCGCCTCCGAGGAAGGGGGTCTCACATGTACTCGGAGACGGGGGCGTTGGAGATGGTCTGCGCCGGGGGGTGCAGGCTGCTCTGGCTGCCCAGGCTGCTGCTGTAGCTGCAGAAGCTGCGGAGCTGCCCCCGGGCCGGGTTGTGGGTGGCGATGCGACGCGCCTGCGGGTTGAAGGGGTCTTCCTCGTCCATGTCGTCGTAGTCCCGGTCCCTGCGGGGACAAGGCGCCGGCGCTTA